CGATGTAAGAGAAAATCAATAACTCCTAACAGACAAATGACTGTATCGGAACTCTTTGAAAATGCCGACAAGAAACAGCTCGGGGCTTTGTGGCCGTTCTTCCAACAGACCTAGATAATTAACCGTTTTTGGCGCCAAGCATAATGAAATAGCTTTTTTGAGCAGGAAAAGTGCGGTTTCAAATTATTCCCGAAAGCTACTGCATGCTGACACTCAGCAATGATTTTCGAAGTCTGTGGCAGATTGTCATTGTTTGGAAATTTTTGCCCAAAACGGTCAGGGCATTTTTGACTGCGCCACAGTTTTACAATGAGTACCTTGTTGCAGTCATCGTTTGGTTATGGCATATTGGTCTGTGTAATGTAGTGCGAAGTTGCGACTTGCAATAACTTAAACAATTACAGCATTCTTCGAAAAAGACACTGACCTTATTCCAGTCAAAAAGCGAAATGGATTCATATTCATTTTGTCGCTTCTAATGGATACCTAAAGGACTAAAGACCAAGCATCAAATCTCTCTCGTAATCTTCAGAGTAAAGGTGAAATAGCATAACAAAAGCTTGCGCATGTTTGAGTGAATTTACCAAAAAATCTCGATCGGAATTCGGGACTTGCAAGAAAGAACCAAAAAAGCGATTAGGATCAAGCAACCAATGAATGTCGCAACAGCTTTTAATGGCCATGCTTAGATTTTGATTGACTAATTTGGGAGACGCATAGCACCTCAAACATTTCTCATAAGTTACTTTCAAGTCCTAATTTATCAAAAACTCCCATGTTAATCTCTCTCTCTCTCTGCATGTCATTCAGTTTGTAGTTATAGCGGACTTGTATTGCAGCTATCGCACCCTCTCCTCCCGGCGTCATGAAAGAATCAAGGAGATCGGAGACGGGATCGGATGCGGTGGCTAAACAGTTTGTCTTCGTGTGCGACAAACGCCTGATCTTCGGACGACGGACCAGGTTTCCACGGAAACACGAAAAGTTTAGCTGGAATCCCAACTGAGTTGGGAGTGCCGTGGAGGCCGTAGGCATAAGGGACATCAAAGTGTTTGGTAATAAACTCGCGTTCATGCATAATACAAAAAGATAATTTCATTTCGTCGAAGCCCAATGACAGGTTAAGCATACAACAGAGCAGTATGGTTACGAAATATTTATGCTGACACCTAGGATGAGCTTTGTCGTTTGTGTTCAACGACTACAGTCGAACACCACAGCGCTGTGAATTTCAAAAACAATTCTGAAGAAGCCGATCCTCAGCTTTTCCAAATTTTAAGTTTAAGTGGAGTACTTCACTTTTTCCCGGATGTACACAAGTGGCATTATTAAATTTACGAGGAGGATGATTTTTATTGGTTAAAAGAAACGGAAAAAATGTACAATAAATGAGTCGACTTACTAGGCCTTGGCTTCCAAGTCAATGCTACTTGAATTATTTTTTATGCAAGCGTACTAAACTACCTCGCCAGCTTTCTGTTACAACTAACTCTTTGACTGACAGTCAGGCTTTAAAAAGTTTTCAGATATTTTTGCTCAGATAAGAACGAACTATTTTAAAACTTCCGTTATTAGGCCTTTTTTTAAAAAAAGTTGCAAACGGCAAAATCAGCATAAGACCATGGAAAAATTAAATAGACGAAGATGGGATAGTTCCAGAAAATGCAGGTGGCTCATTATTGCCCGGTGTGCCATAGGAAAGGATGCCTATTTTCGTTGTATAGGAAATCTGTGCTCACTGAGTGAACAAGTACACTACAACTAGAAAATGGTCGCTTTACCCGGAACTGCCTATTCTGATCAGCAGATTGCGTGGGCTTGTTGTTTTATATAGTTGGCTTAGGGGCGGAAAGTCAGCGCTCATATGCCTCTGTTTCGCAAACATCCGGCCATAGAAATGTCACAGAAACTCGTATGGTCAAGGCTATCAATAGCTACGCGAACTTCAGCCAACAGTTGTGGCGAAGAGGGTTTCTCTGAAGCACCATTTTTTGTCATCTAGCCTCTCTGTCTTTGTTGAGCGTCCGTCTTTGAAGGCAATGCGCAATTACAGTCACCGCAAAAGTATATCATGGCTTTTGAACCAGGGCTGTTGCCCTCATTTCCCAAACGTTGACGAAAAATAAGAGATCAACCAAAATTTCTGAGCTGAACTGGAGCCCCACAGCAGGCCAACCGGCTTCCCCTTGCCTCTAGCAAAGGTACAGGATAAAATGACGATGTGAGGTTCGCTGATTTGTTGCGACTGCGTGACGCATGTGCGGTTCATCAGTGAGTCACAGGCCTTCCCCAAGTCGTTCGCGTCTTAAGTCCAGCAAGCAAATGAAGTCATCATTCAGCCGTCATCGATGACATTTAGCAGAATCCCGAGCCCTGGCCCAAACAGCGTCGTTCCGTTCGGGTTCGAGGTGACTGTTTTCATTTGCTCTGTGACCCATTGAGCGTCGGCCACATAAGTAACGGTTTTTTACCGAGGTTTTCGTCGCATAAAGTTGACATTCAACACATCCATTATCTGGACATTATGAGCTGCGAATACGAACGTATTTTCTTGCCCGTTGACGGTGTCTTCATTCGAAATTTGCCGAGGCGAATGCCGGTGTCAATGACAAATCACCCTCGTTACGCCAATTGCAGGTCACCATAACGAGCAACATTTACGAAAATCTTCCTTCCCCTTTTACCGGATCATGACTTGGTACGCATTCTTCCCTATTTTGACCAATCGGAGCGCGTCAGATCTTCGCTAATGGTCCATTCAATCATGATAGTGAAACTTTCTTTTGATTGAGTAATTTCCTGATTTTCGCTGCCTTCTTAGGCTAGTAAAATGCCCCTTACATGCAAGCAACCGCTTCTCACAGTAGTCGAATCGAGGAGTGCGTTTGCCCAAATGGAGATGTCTGAAAAAGGACATACCAATTTGCAAAGAAATTTCATAACTTTATCCTGTTTCGAAAATGAGTTTATTTTAATGTACGGTTTCGGAACTCAGGAACTATTTTAAATGAACGTTACTGTGAAGCGCATTTAAAAATAGGTCTATACTGAAAGAGCGGTTACTCCAGAAATACAGTGAGCGCTTTAAGGTATGTGAAAAGTCCCTACCTCTTCAGGTCGAGTCATATTCCCACAGTAGGTGGGCTAACTCATGAAATGTCAACCGAAATTCAGAAATACGCTTTCGTTTCGAAAAGATTACTTACGTAGGGCTGTAAAACTAATCATCATTCAGCATAATTCTATAACAGATCAGTTACCTCAGGATGTCGGCTTTTGAACAAACTCCTTTCCGGCTGCATGCAAAAACTACACTCTGTTAAAAATTACTACTTACATAGCATGCATTTTCACTGATTTTTGATGCCTCTAAAGGTCCAGTTATATTTCATAGAAAAAATGCGTAAAATATTCATTCTTTTGCTCATTCGGTAGGACATTACGCCTTCCTCCACGCTTATACTCAAAGAAAGGGTATAGTCCGCTTTTAAAAAGTTTACAATTGTGAGATTTGTAATACCGTGAAATGGACGTTCGTGAAACGTCATGTCTCTGTATTTACCGATGAGGCTTGTAAAGTTAACAATATGGCTCAAATCCACCGCTAAATTTTATTATTTCCATATAATCTGCCCTTAATGCCGTAGAGAAACGTATGGTTTTCCGTACACAGAAAATATACGGCTTGTGGTTTGGAAACCCTGAATGCAGGTGTAACGCCAGGGCGGAGTCAAATTATTCGGGAATTGGAAAAGTCTTTGAAAATCGAATAATGTCCCTTCTTCGAGCATAAAATTAAAAGAAGACGTAATTATCTACCGAATGAGCGAAAGAATAAATTTTTTTTTATGTTTTCTATGAAATATAATTGGACCTTTAGAGGCATCGAAAATTAATGAAAAAATGCGTGCTAAATAAGTAGCCATTTTTTACAAAGTTAATTTTCTGCATGCAGCCGAAAAGAAGTTCGTTCGGAAGCCAACACCCTGAGGTAACTGGGCCATTATATAATTATCCTGAATGATGATTACTTTTAGAACCCTTCTTAATTAACCCTTTCGAAACGAAAATGCATTTTGGAATTTCGGTTGACATTTCATTAGTTAGCCCACCTACTGTATATACTCCTTTATAGCTAGATAAGATGATGCGGAAAGGACAAGGAAGACCGGAATGGCTATTTCTGGATTTTTAGTCAACATCACAACCAACAGGACAACGGACCGTGGCTCAATGGTGGATCATTAGACGCAGTGGCCAAAGAACAGGGGTTCGAGTATCTGGTGCTCCGTGTCTAGGCTCAAGTATGACTGGCTGATACTGGCTAACAAGCCAGAAATGGCCATTCCAATCTCCCCTGTCCTTGTCAGTACCAACTCATCCACCTAATATTGTTAGTCACTTTTTGTCTGTCCGCGGGAGGTGCACCTTGCGTAACCTAATTGCTGAGCGTTCATCTACCATATCCCACCGTATTTTGACATGTACACTCTAAAAATGAGAAGCATTAGCTGGCTCTAGAAAGCAAAGCCCCTGTAGGTTACCGTTGGCTAAAAATGTGTTCCAACCCTTCTTGTAAGAAATAAAGTACTTTACGCGAATATCAGTAATGACACCGAAAAAAAAACTGCAGTGAGGTCAACCCAAAAATAGGCGGTATCCAAAATTCTATATTGATGGCCCGTCTGTCACTGCAGATTAAATAATGTGCAATCATGTTTCATTCATACAAGCCTCCTAATTGCAACCATTTGCATAATACAGACGGCCTATATATAGATATAAATATAAATATATATATAAATATATATAATATATAATATATATAATATATAATATATAATAATAATATATAATAATATATATATAATATATAATATATATAATATAAATATATATATAAATATAAATAACTGAAGATTCCAGGGGCCTTTTCAACTGTAATTTTTCTTGGCCGTTAAACTGGTACCCTAAGGCATAATGAAGTTGAAACTTAAGCCATGGAGACGCGGACTTCTATTCAGAACACGTCCCTCCCTTCCCTCATTGATGAATTCACCGACATACGTGAGCAGCTGATTTCAGCAAACACCACGATCACGGCACAGTCGATGGTACTCGGCCTACGTAGCCCGACCCCGTCAACACTTCTGTTGGGGTGATTCTCGCCGCTACTTGTTAGTTCACACCTCGAAGTCTTCACCTAGCATTCGTTGATTAATCGCCAGCGAGCCTATGAACTTACTCCTGTTTACGTCAGGCGAAACTGCTAATGAGCTTAGGACACGGTCGACTCAATCTATCTCTCCCTCTTGCTTCTTTTGGGACAGTGCTCGGCTGAAAACAACTTTCTCCGGAAAAACCAGTTACTGACCACCATTTACTGTTCGAAGTTAGGTCAAAAACACGGGACTCTAAAAGTGGTTATGTTAAGTGAGCAATGAAGGCGAACAAGCCTCCAGGACGGTTGTAAGGAATTACTAATTTAGGTGTTGGGCAGGTGTGTGCTGCGGTATTTCCCAGAAGAGTTAATAAGAGGGGCATGTGTGAGCCCAGATCACTGCATACAACGTGGGTAGAGGTTGGTTACGCTGCCCCAGTCCAAAGTGTAAGTGCAACGTGGGCATTGCAAGTAAAGAAGGCCGAAGGAGGATGCTTAAACCGTTAGTGGGAAAGCGGCCAAAGCTAAGACGGAAAAGGGTAACCTGACGTTTCGGTCTAGAGGTAGGGTTAGTTTTAGGGTTTGGATTAGTGTCAGGCTGAGAATTGAGTTTAGGGTTAGGGTTTGTGTTAAGTCTAGGGTTCCGGTTAGAGTTAGGATTTGAATTGCAGTCTCAGTTCACGTTTAGTGTTGAGGTTGGGGCTAGGGTCAGTGTTAGGGCAGGGTTACGGTTAGGGTTTGGGTAGGGGTTAAGGCTAGGGTTAGGATTTCAGTCACGGTTAAGGTTAGGCTTAGAGTTAGGGCTGGGGTTGGTGGTGGGTTTAGGACTGGGTTTGGCTTAAGTCTAGTATTAACGTTACTTGTGTAATAACGCCAAGGATTAGGCTTACTTTTGAGGTTACGGTCAGGTTTACCGTTAGTTTTGGGTCATTGCTGCTCCGCCTGTCACGTTAATCAGGTCTTTTGCGGAGATTCTAGGCTTTCTTTAATCCCACGGCAAATCTGTCATACATCAGGCTGGCTTTTCCATTTCCGCTTCGGCTACTTTTCCCAATACCGATATTAGCATCCTCTTCCGGCTTTCTTTACCTTCAATGCCCACATTGGGCTTACACCCGGGACCCGGACAGCGTAACCGAGTCTTGCCGTTGGGCCTGGAACAAGTTGCGTCGAAGTTTAGGTTTTCTTTTAAGGTTACGGTTAGTATTAACGTTAGGCTTGGGTTATTGCTGCCCCCGTGGCCTTTTGCGTGCATTCTAGGCTTCCTTCATTCTCGCGATAGATTCGTCATATATCAGGTTCCCTTTTCCGTGTTAGCTTCGGCTACTTTCCCCACTACCGATTTTACCATCCTCTTTCGGATGACTTGATCTTCAATGCCCACATTGGGCTTACACCCGGGACCCGGACAGCGTAACCGACTCTTTCCGACGGGCATGATCACTTCCAAGCACCCTCTCCCCCCTTTTTGTGCCTTTAGACACCACTTCCACCGCACACCTCTGGGTTGGAACAAGTCGCGGCGTCATCTTCACCCTGACTGTCAACCCATCCGACGACGCTGCCTCCTCCTGCAGTGTCGGAGGTGAGTGACTGGCTCGCCGTCTTTGTTACTTTTTGTGGAAGCTCCCTGCCCTGTCCTTCTACCTGGTCAAAAGTGTCTGCTCCATTGAATTCAGATCGGGTTTTCCAATGGGGCGCACAGAATGTTGTGTTATTCGGCCGAAACTAGATGTGGGGAAGTGGTTAGTACTAATAAAAATATTAATCAAAGAGGGCCTATCATCGGTCAGGTTGCGAGATGTGCTTACTCTATCGCACCCTGAGGCTCATTGAAGAGCCCGCGTCGCGGACTGTCACGTAACGGTCAGTAGTATGTGCGGGAATGACTACTGACAAAGACGGGGAACCGGGATGGCCGTTTCTTTTCTTCCTAGCCATCGTCAGCCATCCACGCCCAACTTTACACCTGGATAGCTTGGAATTCGAACCGAGATCCCTTGGTCACTTAGCGTTACGTAGTTGAGCACTCCACCTTGGAGCCACAGATCCGTTGCCCTACGAAAATCAAATAAGTTGGATGAGGAAGTGCCTCTGAATAAGACCACTTGAAATAGTATACGTTCGTAACATTCATCTTCCCGGCAGGGCTGTTCTCACTCTAAAACTTTCCTGTCTTCCAATCGTTGTCGACAGGAAGTACCTGAAGGAGCTTACTTCACACAGAATGGCCTTTGAAAAAACATCCTGTTTGTCGACGCTTCGGCCCAGTTCTACCGGGGGCTCCCATTGAGCATTATCGGTCTACAATTAGGATATTACTCTTATCTAAAGTAGAACGGTCTTCCGTCTCCTGTGTACATGACCTACAAATCATCATTCTAACGAGGCGACTTTATTCCCTATCAATTGTTCAGGTTCCTTATTCCGACTGGAGGGTGAGGCTGTGTCGGTCGCTTTCCTCGATTCTCTTGGTGAGATCTGCGTTCCACCAGCGACTAAGTGGGATCTCGGAAGCAGTGCAATTCCTCGACTGACCCTGGTGCCACAGCAGGAGGAGGAGGATTGTGTTGATGGGGGCGCCACGCGCATGCTCGCCGATCAGGAGTCAGGCTTCGGGGACTCGCTCAAACCCACCGCCGGTACCTGTAGTGTCTCCGTAGCAAAGCGTCTGGGTCCCGGTGCTCCCGCCTCCACGGGTGCCCACCTCACCGGCAGTACAGCACCTCCGACCGCGAGGCGAGACCAGCCGGCCAAGGGCGCCGGGCGCTGGTCCGCTCTGAAGCTAAGCGCCTGCGGAAGCGGTGGCTCTTCACCCGCAACACCAGGTACTACTTACCACGTACTACGCTCTCATTTTCTCCTAACTACTGCAAAGAAGGTTTTTATGGTATTGCCGACAGTTCGACCGTCGATTCCGAAGATGTCCACCGTGTGCTCCTCATCAAGGTGAGAGTAGGGGCGATGACTTGTTCGTGAGTTAGTTTATAGTGAGAGTAGAGTTGCACAGCATCTACGGCACTTCCTCTTCCCCATTTCTCACCTGGACGCGGTGTCAAGCCAGAGTCAAGAAGACCGGAGGCGGAGGAGGGCGCAGGTGGCTGGCATGGCCGGACCCGCACCTAGGCGTCCCACTATACCTCCTTGTCCACAACATACATTTGGCTAAGATTTTTTTCACCAACAACAACACCCCAACAGGGGTCAGAAGTTCGAGGATGACTGGACAGCCATGCCTACCACCTGTATAACCGGCGGGTACGCAAGCGCATTTACCGGCTGCTTTTCCATCTAAAGATTTCAGTTCCCCTCTTCGGTTTACTTTACTTTTAATGCCCATATTACACTTACACTTGGGACCAAGACAGCATAACCGACGCTTGACGGGACTTGTTGCGCTTCTGGGTGCAAAGAAAGGTCACCTTACACTGACGCGTAGTTCGATTTCATCCCACTTAGCCTCTCATCAAGACAGGGAAAACTTTTCGATCACTGCCGCATGACACCCCAAAATCGGTTCACGCAGTCAGCCCAGTCGTGTGTGTGTGTGTGTGTGTGTGTGTGTGTTTGTGTCGATTGGCGGGTTGGTGGGCTGAGAGCCAGACTGTCTCGGCTCCTTCTTAAAGTGACATCTGGCACTCTCAGGCATGCAAGATGTAGACTGCCCAACCCCCGTTGTTCGAAAGCCCCGTGACTGTTATGGTAGATGGGCGCTCACCGATCAGGTTACGGAGCATGCTTGTCCCGTTTTGCCGAGGGGTTAAAACGAAAACCCTAGCAGACAGTCGCATAGCGACTAGTGGTATACAGTGTGTGACCGATCTCATGAAGTGTTAGCCGAAATTCTGAAATGCGTTTTCGATTAGGAAGGATTACTTAGGTGGAGTTGTAATATTGATTAGCATGCGGCATAATCTTATAGCATCTCGGAGTCACCAGGATGTCGGCTTTTGGATGCACTCCTTTTTGACATGCAGAAACCATACTCGGTAAAAATACCGCTTAAGAAGCATGCATTTTTTACATTTAGTTTCGATGGCCATATAAATTCAAATATATTTTACAAAACACACTGACAAAAATATGCTATCTTTTACTATTTTGATAGAAAATCACATTATCTTCATATTTTATACTCGAAGGTGTATATTTAGGTCTTAAAAAGTTTCTAATTATGAGATTTTTAAAGACCGTGCGATGTCCGTGAATACAAGATCGCACATGTACGTTTACCAACGTTCCTCATGAAATGTACAACACAGTCCGGATCCATTGCGAAATTTTATGAACTCTATATGGTATCTTCTTAAAGTCATGGAGGAATATATGGTTTTCCTTACGCGGAAATCCTGCACCTTGTAGACTGTAATTGCTAAACACTACTGCAATGGCCGATTAGGCTCATAATTATTCGGGAATTTGGAAACCTTATAAAAACCTTAATATATACTTTCTTCAGGTGTAAAATTTGAAGGCAATGTAATTTTCTACCAAAATAGTAAAAGAAAGCATATTTGTGTGCATGTTTTCTATAAAATATATTTGAATTTATAAGACCATCGAAAACTAATAGGAAAAGTGCACGCTACTCAAGTAGTCATTTTTTACTGAGTGTGATTTCTGCAGATCAAGAAAAAGAGCATTCAAAAGCCGACATCCTGACAAGTCCGAAATACTATAGGATTAGGTTACGTACTAATCAATATTACAAGCCCACCTAGATAATCCTTCCTAATCGAAAACGCATTCCCGAGTTTCGGCCAACATTTCACGAGATCAGTCACGCACTGTATGTAGGTAAGGCGATAAAGACAAAGACAATTGAGACTGCGATGGCCATTTCTGGCTTATTGGCCATCATCAGTCAGTCATACCCCATTCTGAGTGTGTGCCGCCTGGGATTCGAACCCGGGATCTTTGGTCATTGAGTCAAATGTCCTACCAATGAGCTATGCGCCTGCCTACGAGGGCTCTAATTTGAGTCCCAAGGCACAGCGGAACAAGTATGCTCCCTAACATGATCAATGAGCACCCAAATACCACAATTAATATTCCTGATCACAAACAGCAGGACAACGAGTCCGTGACTCATTGTCGATCGTTCAACTCGATGACCAGGTGGTTCACACATGGAATTGGGTATGGCTGGCTGATGACGGCTTATACGCCAGAAATGGCTATTTCGGTATCCGTTGTCTCTGTCAGTATCACCTTACCTATCCGGTGTTGGTGTTTAGAGGGACAGGTCATGCATGTGGCACTCGCAGACAAGGTCACTGTATATGTCAGCCACCGCGCGAATTCCCCGTACCTGTCTACTAACCGGATCGGACAGCGGCTAGAGCCTGCGAGTGAGAGATGAGAGTGAAATCGACGACTCAGCGCATTTCTTCTCACTATAAACAATCTGACAAGCTTGAAGCTATTACGATGAGCTAAAAGCCGTTGTTTGAAGGGTTGCCAACTGACGGAATAACTTGGACATCGCAGTCGGCCCAGTGTTGTGTGGAGTGGCCGGCTGGTGGTCTGAGAGTCAGGCTGCAATGGCTCTTTCTCATTAAGGCCTTAGTGGTGCCCTCATTCCGTGGGATCTGAGCCGGGTGTGACGGCACGCCTAGCGGCGGCCTGGGCCGCGCCCACCCCCTCTGTTGTCGATGGTTAAAATCCTGGTCATTTTCTGTGTGAACCAGGGGGTGCGAAGCTGAGCGTCAATGTGCGGGCTCGACCGCACCATTCAGCTGTGCCCTTTCCCGACACCGGTCTTCTTAAATCTGTCTTGATACCGGGTCCAGGTGGGCGAGGAGAAGAGAGTGGCAGCGCACCCAGGGGCGGCCATGGTCGCTACGGCCACCTGCACTCGCTCCCATCTTCGATATGTTTGACACTGTCCTAACATCAGGCTAAGGTGGAGCAGGAGGCGGTGAAGTAGACACAGCGCAAGTCCACATTAACTATAAACTAACTCACGCGCAAGCCACCATGGCTGCTTTACCTCGCTGCGAAGCACACGGTGGACATCGTCGGCAACGACGGTCAAACTGTTGCGTGGTGGCAAGTTAAATTCGATAATCCAACGAAGAAAACACTGGAGGAGCAGCTTTGAAAGTCTTTCTGGCCTGTGGTAATGTGAAAATGCTTTTTAACGACAGATAAACTGGAGATGGCCATTCCGGTCTGGCATTTATTGTTGGCAGAATTCGCAGTGACAAAACTTTGTTTATTATGAATAACCATGTGGTTGATGGAGTTTTTGGAGCAACGGCATAAAATATTGAGACAAGTTAGACCACCGTCAAATTTCGATATCTGCACACTGCGGTCTTTTCCGAATTCACCCAAAACATTGTCTGGAGGCAGATCGGAAGGTGGGTATCAGCGACCCAGGAGTGGGACGAATATAACTCCTTTATAAATCATGCCTGAGACCCGGTCTTTCATATTCTCTGTGAGTGACGGGTACAGGCCCTTTAAAAAAGCCATATAGAACTGTATCGTGTAAAACCAGGTTAGCGGTGGGAACAGCTTGAACAATTTGACGGAAACAGTCAGTCTCTTCGAGAAACTGCTCACAGGGTCAGGAAAGTAGAGAGAACCTTCTGTACCAGCAGATGTACGACCAGGAAAGTGTTCTGTCAGGAAGAAGGGAGAGGACAGGGACCTGCAAATTGTCACAGTCAACGTGTATTATCCTTCGAGGCAGGAAAACATTAGTTTATAATGACATGATTGTACAAGGGGCATCCGAAGCCAGGGACGAAATAGAACAAAGCTTGTGCGCGATGACATCTTATTCTGTGAAGACACGACAAGGTTAGATCATAGAAGACCGCTCACATAATCACGTATACTAGCACATTTATTTTTGACGAATCAGCTCTAAAGCACACAACACATTCATAGTCATTTGAAAATGGAAATTGAAGATTCTTCGGAAAACATCGATTTGTTTACGTTTATGATCCCTGTACTATCTAGTCTTCACATAGAGGCATCACGAAAACACCAGAAACCACATGATGTCTTCTCCTAGTTCAAAACGCCTCAGCGTCACATACCAGATTAGACGGACTTTAAGTAGACTTTGTGTAAATTCTTCGTCGAGGGACAAAAAGTTATTTCACGATTAAATAATAGGAAAAAGCAACAAAGTTTCAAGAGCCCAAAAGCCCGGATTTGATGGCATAATAATGGCAGCTTTCTCGCAGACTACGAACAATCGACTTGAGACTGTAAGACAAAAAACAAGGATCGCCGGGCTTACTTTTATTTGCACGCAGTATATGGTGCCTTCATCTTTTTCCTCGTCAGTGACGCCATCTTCTTCACAGATGCTTGATCGTCCTCTGTCTCATCATCATCATCATCATCATCATCATCATCATCATCATCATCATCATCATCATCATCATCATCATCATCATCATCATCATCATCATCATCATCATCATCATCATCATCATCATCATCATCATCATCATCATCATCATCATCATCATCATCATCATCATCAACATCATCATCATCATCATCGTCGTCGTCGTCGTCGTCGCCGTCATCATCATCATCATCCTCCTCCTCCTCCTCATCATCATAATCAGCAACAACATCATCATAATCGCCGTCATTATTGTGCCTATTACCATTACTACTACTACTACTACTACTACTACTACTACTACTACTACTAATGCAATTACTACCGATGCCACCACCACCGCCGCCGCCGCCGCCGCCACCATCACTACTACTACTACTCCCACCATTATTGCTGTTACCATTACAACTGTCGTCATTACTACTGTTATTACTGTTTAATCAATACTGCTGTCACTCCTACTAAGAGTAATGCCTTATAAGGACGTCTGATCCTCCTCCTCCCCCCCGTCCCCCACCACAGCCATCATTACCACTCTCGCTCTCTACAAAGCGGTCGACTCCGTGAGTATTTGTATCTTGCAGGGCGGTGCTGATTGCTCAACCTTTTTATCTGAGAAGTTTAGGTGGACAAAACTACAATTCCCTCTTAGGACTGAAAAAATCCGACAAGCCAGCGATGCAGACACCAGAGAATAGATAATGTCATTTCTTAACAGGAGCGTGGGACAAGTTACTGAATAGAATATCACAATGGGCGGCCTTTCTGAATTGCAACGCAGGCGTGTTTTCCTCTGTGCAGTCATACTACCAATTTCTGCCATCCTGGAACCTTGAACAATTTTAAAGCTCCACCAAAGAAATCACTTATGCGCGGGATGACTAATCAGCCTGCAGGTCAGACCATTTGATTCATAATAAGGACTAGATGGGACACTTAATTTTGGTTCTTCATAGGTAGGGTTGTCCTTCCGCGAACAAGAGAACGAACCAGTTCTCTGTTGAATACCACTCCCACGAATTGCTAGATACTCTCTGAGGAAGTCTTCAAACAAGATGCCTTGGTGACCAGTCTTGTAGACCGTTTCTGCGTGGCGGGCTTTTGAATTTGAGCCGCCATTTTTGTAGCTCTCCATTCACGTGTGGATTTTTACTAATTGTACATTATTGTGCCTTTTCTATTCGATATATTGAACTGTTTTGCATCTTTTGTTTGTCTGAGCTAAGATTATGAGGTCGTCTCGACAGTACGCTAGCACCCTTTTGAACGGAATTAAATTGTCAATTTCACTTACGAACGACCATGATGCACACTGTTGTACTTTACGGCCAATATGTCGTATTTGTGATCGTTCTGTGTTGAATCTATCAAATGTTCGTCAACAACGGGCTATGCATCGGAGAAAACACCGTTGTGGCTGGCAATTCGCATTCAAACGTCAGCCAAATCACAAATTGTCAATTCCTGCCTTCTTGTCGACAAACTGTCGTTCTATTTTCTACAAAACCCATGATTTGGAGCTACTTTTGTCGAAAAAAGAACACAGCAAAACTGCAGTTGTTTGCCTTCAAGAGACGTGGCTTAATAGTGACATTGATTTGCAACTTATTTCTCCCCCATCCTTCTACTGATTTCGAGCAGATAGAAAATCTTTATCTTGTGGCAGAGGTGGAGGCGTTGCCATTTTCGTTAATCAAAATTGGTGTAGAGACTGCAAGTCCCTTTTTTCTTACTCTGATGATTTAATAGATGTAATCGCTGTTTTATGTAAGCCCCGTTTGTTAAGTAATTTTAAAGGCATCATATTTGTTAGTATTTACCTTCCCCCCTCTTCCTGTGAAGGCGCATTAACCCGTTTTTCGACTTCCTCTCACAAAAACTTGCTATATTATCCTGCGACTATCTTACTCTCTTATGCGGTGATTTTAATCGCGTGAATTTACGTCCCCTTACACTTTTAGGCTTCGATGATCTTGTCTCCTTTAATACTCGCGCAAATGCCCCTCTTGATCATATTCTGACTAACCACAGCAAGCTCTTTTGCGTAAAAAACAGGGCTCCATTGTCAGGTTCTGACCATTCCACTTTATTGTGCATTCCAAAAATCTATTCCACCTCAAAACGTGCACTGCTTGCCAAGCCTGAGAGAAAGGTTAAGGTTCGCAACACGTCCGCCCAAAACATTCTCATGCTTTAGACTTGCATTTCTCTTACTATCCCCACTTTCCTTGAACATTCTAATGTTGAATCCTGTTCTTCCAACCTGACAGCGTTTTTAAAGGAAATTTTCGATATTTGCTGCCCTTTTGATACTGTTATGGTACGACCGGATAGAATTTCTTCCTCCTATCTGAAATCGTTAAGACGTAAAAAAGAACTCCTTTACAAGCTAGGCTTACGTGATAACTTTAAGGACGTTACCGTCTTAATAAAAGCAGAGATTGACAGGCTAAATAGCCTGTTTGTCAGCCAACTTTTTTCCTCTTCTTACTCCCCCCCTTTCCCCCTTCCTCAGCTGAGATTTGGAATAATCTTAAGCGTCTCACTGGTCATCGCAACACGCTGGTGCATGTGGATGCAGATTTAGACTCCCTAAATAAAAATTTTATATTTAGTCACAATGACTCCCATCTTCCCTTAGAAGACATTCCCCTATCACCGAGTGCATTCCAACCCGTGTCTTTGGCAACAGTAGAGAAACACCTTAAAAAGGTCCATGGATCAACAGCTGCCGGACCGGATGGTGTCTCGCCTTTTCTTCTTAAATCTTGCAGTTCTCAGATAGCCCCTATTTTAACGCACCTAATCAATATGTCTTTCATGGAGTCCAAGATTCCCGACGCCTGGCGTACAGTGAGAATCACTCCCATCCCTAAAAAGCCTGCTAACTTTGGTCCTAAATCTTTTCGCCCAATTGCCTGCTCCTCTGCAATACTAAAGCTTGCTGAAAGAGTTGCCCTAGATATCATAAAGCCTTTTTCTTCCAGTTTTTCCGACCCCTTTCAATTTGCATACAAAGCTAAACGGAGTACTTTAGATGCTGTCGCTCTTGTGGTCCACTCTGCTCTAAAAGCATTAGACAAGGGTTGCCGTGAGTATGCGTGCGCTTTTCTGGATTACTCCTCCGCCTTCAATACCGTCCCGCGTCCTCTTCTCCTTTCCAAAACCTCCGGATGTGGCTCTCCAGGCTGGGTCGTCTCTTGGCTGAGCGATTATTTTAGCTTCCGCACCCAATTTGTCCAATCTGGCAAGCGAAAATCTTCGACCCTTCCCAATGACTGCGGTGTTCTTCAAGGTTCCATTTTATCCCCTCACCTTTTCTCCCTCCACACTGATGATCTCAGGTCCCCTAATGACTGTCTTCTGATCAAGTATGCTGACGATGTGGTTGTTGGACACCCTCTCAAAAGTCAGACACACCTCCGGTCTCTAAAGGATGGCCTAAACCATGTCCTAGCGTGGTCGGAGGAAAATGGTCTCCTAATTAACAACCAAAAATCCGTTCAGTGTATTTTTTGACTGCGGCCCTCTCCTAACCCTGATTCCTCTGACATTCTTCCTAATGAGGTATCCTCTTTCAGGTATCTCGGCGTTACTTTGTCCTCAAATCTTTCTTTTTCCCTCCATATTGAGTCCCTATTTATTAAAGTTCGTAAACTTCCTTACTACATTCGTCGTTTGCGTTCGTACCACATACCTCAGCCCTTAGTCTGGCGATTTATTGATGCCTGCATTCTTCCTCTTATCCTATACTGTTCTCCTGTCGTTTTTCCTGCTTTGTTAAAAAAGGATCTTTTAATTTTGAAACGAATCCTCCGCATGCTCTCTTCTGCTGCTGGCGTTTCTCATAATTTTTTAGTTGACACAATCTTACAACGACACTTCAATGCGGTCAAGCAATTTGCTGGTCGAATTCTAGATGACGTTGCCCATGCCTAACATTCCGATCTTATTTCTGCGAGGTCTTCCCGCCCGATGCGCCGCAGCTTGCGACTTATACCCTGTCGCACATCGGCTTATCGAGCCTCTGTATTGCCATTCCTAGGGCGCTATCTTACGTGCGAAGAGACAGAAATACAGAAGCTCAGACTTGAACTATCCCTATAATAATCGTTTCTTTGACTGTTGAATAATCTCTTAACTTATTTACTACCCACAGTGAATGGAGCCAATTTTTGCTGAAAATTTTGAACTTACGATTTCAAAATAAAGCGCATTCCTCTCCTAAATCCACTTTCAGTTCAGGTCTCATTTAAATGTCGGTGCGGGTATTTAGGGTCAATGCCATCTGAAAAATGGATATAAGCCATGAAAGTCATCTTGCCGATTGGGAGTTGAGTGAGTCGGGCAACTGCTACGATTCTGCAGAGTAAGATGCAATCGTTGGAACAAGCAAAATGCTGGCCTGACGTTTCGGATTCTCACTCGAATCTATCGTCAGAGACATTCGCAGACGGTCCTGTGAGTTTCCGAGACAGGCATGAGGGAATTGCAGACACGCGAAATGGGAGCTTTACGAGGTATACTACGTACTCTGTTAAACGGTCAGAGGTTAGGCTAAATTAACTGTATGCTATAGGCTGGTATCTGTGAACTGTTCACCATTCATTAGGCGCGTGATTGCCAAAACAGATGGATATTAGAGCTATAATTGCCCGTGAATCAAGTGAGAGGGAAGCAAATCCAGCGTAGACGCAAGTTTTCCACCCGGTACGACTGACTGAAAAGGGGTGCAACTTGGGCTTGAAAACTCCGACAAAGTAAATGCACTTCCGAAATTCAACTGCATTAAAAATTAGATATTTAACAATCTATAATCGTTTGCTGGCTATTTTCTAAGCAAGGACTATAAGTAGCCGAGATGTAGACTTTCCTTTCAGCTTTCTGTTAAAGGGAGCGGTACTGGTTCTATTCGCTTCATTTGTTTATCCAAATTGCGAAAAATTGATTTTTGATGCGAAGTTGCTGAAGAGTTCCGGCATTGGTAATGTAAATTGGTCGCAGGTGTTAGCCAGAGATAATTCTGAATCAGTTCTGTATCAGTCTGCCGCCATTTCTGTGGCCATTCCCTCCAGACTGGTAAAAATTTATGAGAAAAAACATTCCGAAACTCGAATCTCATCTCTTGTAAACCATAGGTCTTTTCAAGTCAACCCAAGACTTAACAGACTGGGCATTAGATGTTGTTAGTAGACACATATTTTGCAGAATTTATGTTGTCGCATGAGTCCAGTATACATAATCATTGTATCAACCCAGAGCTCCCCATACTAAGTCTGACAGTCTGTCTTTAATTTAATTGGATATTTAATGTTGATATTGAAATGATCTTTTTAGATTACAACCGTTTAATTTTGATCTCAAACTGGATTCCAATATTTGAACTGCATTAACCGCGTAGTAGTCAAACTCAGCCAATGGCCAGTCAGAGGTATATAAATGCACTTTGAAAATGCCTTTTTAAATTTCCGGTGCGGGCCCGATTTAGGTGCTCGGTAACATGGTTTTTCAAATATACTCCACTGCGGAACACCTGCATGCCATTGGCGGCGAGCTGGAGGATTTTGAGCAAGGTGCGGCGCTTTCGCACTTACTTGGAGAGTGCCGCTGAAATATATTTTGGTTGGGACTATTAATTCGATTCTCAATATTTTAAGTCCCTCAGTTAATTTCTGACGAGATTGTACACCTTCTATCGTCTACACTAGGCGAAATCGTCGGTGAACTTAACGATGCAACAATTTATTTTTCCTCATGCTGATTTCAGAGCTGCGCCTGAATTGAAATCCCTCTACCGATTATGATTGGTTATCGCTTGTCCTCACCAATGTTAAAAAGAACCTTTCTCCTTTTGATTTTGGTGATTAAAAATCAAACCTGCAGCACCTGTTGCCTGAGTGCTGTTATGGTCTGGCCGGGCGTACGCAGAATTTGCAGGGTGTTAATGACTTCTCTCGCTACTTCGAGGTACCTTCACTTAAAACCGCCGGCCGAGTCTTACCGAATGGTTATGGAGATTAAAATAAGAAATTCAGATGGACAAATCTGAGCAGTTACTTCTCGTAACAGTTAGTTGGTGAGTTCGTTCTTGAATATTACTAAGCAAGTATGGATAAACGAGGTTCCATTGACTGTCCTGTCTTGACTCACATGCGACAGTCTCCATGACTGGGAGCAGAAGACAATCGACGGACCTAAGAGAGAGATATCAGTTCATTTCTCAGGAGTCCCCCTCCTGATATGCAGGTCCACCCTTCAGGTGCCGACAAAGGTACTAAACTGTATTTTATACCCGTTGCCAGACACCCTCAGTCGACGGCGTCCTTTCGACCTGCTTGTCGGTGCGGGGACTGAGACGGTCTGGCTAGACTAGGGAATCTTCCCATCAAAGCACATATCTGTCGTATTAACCGGCTCTCATCTCGTTTGTTGGCCTATTGAACCAGACAAGTCTGAGGATATTGTAATCTACTCTCCTATTTCAGCTGGCCCGCGGATAGACCTCACCGGCGTCAATTTGACTGCTGAGAACGTTGGTCTAAAAAGCAACGTCATGAGACAGTTGATTTCGCGGCTGTACATCCTTCTTGCTTTGGTTCTTTAACAATTTTTGACTTAGAATTGGGGGACTTTAAGAATTCTCGGAATGAAACCTACAAGAATTTAATACCAGAGTCAATGCAATTCACGAAGTCTTCGCTAGTTTTGAGAAAGGCCAGAAGGATCAACGAGGGTTCAGCAGCGGGGCCGGGGGTCAAATTAAAATAAGTGCAGCTGGGATGCTGCCACTATTTTTCCAAGAATTCTAGACAGTAAGGGTTTTACAAAGGCCGAGATTTTATATCCTATACGCTTTCATCTAATTCATCAAATATAGGATCGCATTAGAGGCGTCTCCTTGTCTGCACTCGAGAACATAACTCAGGTAGTTTGGGTCTGCCTAACAACGAAAAATGATGACATGCAAACTGGCACTCTGTCATATACAAAAAATTGAAACAAGTACGTGGAACATGATTAGATGCCGTTCACCCCGGTTCCGGAAAGATTCCAAGGTGGAATTAGAGTAGGTGTGCTAACTCATGAAATGTCAATCGAAATTCCGAAATGAGTTTTCGCTTCGAAAAGACTGATTAAATGGCGTTGTAAAACTAATCAGCATGCAGCGCATTTCTTTAATAATTCAGTTACCTCAGGGTATCGGCCTCCAAATTAACTTCTTTCCGGCGGCATGCATAAACTACAATCCTAAAAAAATGATGAGATATGTAGCACGAGGTTTTCTCACTGATTTTCGATGCTCTTAAAATTTCAACTATATTTCATAAAAATGCCTAAAAATATTCATTCCTTTGCTCATTCGGTAGAAAATAACGCTTTCTTCCAATTTTGTACTCGAAGAAAGGGTATAATTCGGTTTCAAAAAGTTTCCAGTTGTGAAATTTTTTAATACTGTAAAATGGCTGTTCATAAAACGTCATGTCTCTGCATTAACCAATGTGGCTTGTAAAGTTAACAATATGGCTTAAACCCACTGCGAAATTTTATGTACCCCATATAGTTTCCTCATAATACCGTAGAAAAGTGTATGGTTTTCCGTACGCGGAAAATATGCGGCTTGTAGTTTGAAAGCCCTGAATGTAAGTATAACGGCAGATCGGGTTCAAAATTATTCGGGGATTGGGAAGGTTTTTTAAAACTGGATCATACTCTTCCTTCGAGTATAAAATTAGAAGAAGACGTCATTTTCTTCCGAATGAGTTAAAGAAGAAATATTTTTATGCATGCTTTCTATGAAATGCAATTGAATTTTTAGGGGCATCTAAAATAAATGAGAAAAATTCATGCTACTTAAGGGATCATTTGTTAC